ACATCCAGCCAATAATTTTCTTATCAGCCTGTTAACCCTAGAAATAAAAATATATGGCAGCCAATATATTGTGATCTGTCCCTTATGTTATAACATGACAAAACATCTTCAGAACATCTTTTAAACATCTTCAGAAAAAGTCTGTTTTTAGTTGAAAATGGTGTTGAGTAAATCCATTAAGAAAATGATTAGTCATGGCAGTGATTAGTCACAAGATCTGACCCAAACATTTTTAAATAGCTAAAGCAGGAGTGGGCAAACTCGGTCCTGGAGGGTCGGTGTCCTGCACAGTTTAGCTCGAACTGTAATCAAACACACTTGCTTATAGATTTCTAGTGATCTTGACACAAAGTACGTTTACATGGACACCAATAATCCGATTTTAATATGATTAAGACAGTACTTTGACTAAGAGTCTAACTAATTTATTCCTAATAATTTCCTAATTTATTGACTAATTTATTCCGATTAAATCAATCGTCACGAGAATTGATTTAATCAAACAGAAATCAAATTAAGACATGTGGAGTATGCTAATATTAGTCGCATTATTGAAGTGCAGTAAAGACATGTATACACCGCAACTAAACTATTACCGACCAGTAGGATTTTTGGCACATTTTGCGCTAGGATAGTCTGTACACAGCTGTTTGACACTATTCTCAGTCAGTGAAGGATCACAGACACCTGCATGGTGAAATGTGGAGGTTTTTTCCCCAGCAGTTCATACTCGCATCCAATATCTCGGTTGTCATGGGGGGCATGCATGAAATGCTCCTGAATAAAAGTGAAAGTGCCAAACTGCAGTTTGAGTCAACAAATTCAAAATGAAACAACCAAAATTACACAAAACTTCGGAGGAAATTTGGATAGCGTGTTATACCGTATATAGCATGCTATAACATGTAAAACGGAAAGAACATTTACAAGCAACTCATGTAAACACCTTAACCTTATTATTGTCTTATTCACTTTAAGACAAATAATTTGTTACTGATGTCCATGTAAACATAGCCACTGATTGGCATGTTGGATAGTATTGGAGCTAAACTATGCAGGACACCCCTGCATTTTCCCACCCCTGAGTTAAACGGATAGTTTATCCAAAAATTATTTCATTATACAATTAACTCAGCTATCATCTTTCACTTTCTATCTTCTGCAGAACATGAAATCAGATATTCTGACAAATGCCTTTGTGTTTTTGGACTCCACTGATTTTCACTGTATGGACAACAAATATTCTATAAGGCAAAATATTTCATTTTATGTCCACAGAAGAAAGTCAGTCACATTTCCATTAGTTGAACTATCACTTTATGCATACAAATCCTCATATTACTGCCTTGACTTCATCACAACCCCAAGCTTATGGATTGATACATAGAAAAAACAATAACAAAGAAGTTAAATCCATAGCAAATACCATTAAAACTAACTGCTAATTGTCATATTATGGCTTTAGTTTTCTGAATTGGTAGTCTTGATAGTAACAGATTTACAGCCACTACTGATATCTATGCAATAATTATCTATTAAAACCTTAAATTGCATATGTTATTGCACATTTCTGCAATTCAAGATTTACTGAGCATCAAGTCCCTTTTGTTACAATTTCATGTTCAGGTGATTAAAATGATGCAGATGAACATGCGACTCTACGCTTCATTCATCAAAAAAATGATCAGAGCCTCAGATTAATGAGGGTTCAGAATCTAGATACGCTTCAGCATCAACAGGAGACTAAAATGCTAGAAATATTAAATTTAGACAATGATTTTTCTTGCTTAATGAAAAATAAATTTAATTAATATTATAAAAATAAATAAATTAGTTATTAAAGGGAATTAAATACATAGATCCTATAAAATAGGCCAGAATAATGCAGTATAAACTAAGGGTGTACTCACACTAGGCTATCCAAACCATGCCAGGGTGCGTTTGACCCCCCTTCCCCGGTTTGTTTGACAAGTGTGAGTGCGCCCAGGCTTGGTTTGGTTGGCTGGCCTTGGCCCAATTGGAATAGGTGTGCAGAGCACGGTTCAGTTGGATTCAGGCACGGTACACTTGTAGTGTGAGTGCAAAGCAAACCTAAGCACAAAACTGAAGACCCGTCGTCACTTAAGGGACTGTTTCGTATGAATTTATTAATCATTCTTACTTTTCTATGAACGCAAACTGTCATAGTTTATTAAAATGCATACCTCACGCTGCACATCAGCTGATATCCTCAGCAAACCTTCTAATATGTGCAGCACAATGACTTTATGAAAGTTTATGAGAGTCAAAAGTGGTGAATTTGTTAAGCAAAAGATTTAAATGTGCATCAAAAATGACTTAAAATAATACAAAACGATAAAACTAAAGCAATCTGCATTGTACTGAGCAAGAGTGCTTCTCTCTGAACAGTCACATCATCAATGACGTAAGCGTGCTTGGGCCCCGAAGGGGAAAATACAGTGTGAGTGTAGGCCGAGGGGGAGAGGGGAGGGGGGACAAGCCCCCCTGGGTTCAATTCAAGGCAACTGTACCTTGTGTAAGGACACCCTAAAGCTAAAACTGCTAGAAAATTTATTCTAAAAGGTCAACCAAATGAAAAAGAAAGAAGTTTTATGTACCAAAATAACAAAAACTAAAATTCACTCAATTTAAATTCAATAAAAAAACAATAGTACAAATTAAAAACAGGTAAAAATATAATAATATTTAAAATATACTAAAATATTAACAAAAGTATTAATTTGTGCAGAACTTGTTCAAGGTGAAATGTTTGGAAGACCTTAGTATTTATTTTAAATTCAAAGATTCTGTAATTATGACTATTACTTGCTGGGATTTAATAGATAAACTGATCAGAGTAAAAATGAATAAATAAATTCTGCTGTCTAAATGAAGATTTGTCAAGTTTCTGACTTTGACAACTGAGCAACACTAAGCTCTCCATCACCCTGGAATGATGTTTGTGACTGATGCACAGTTATACCGTAAAGAACTGTGATTTTTGTGTTCTTTGAGCTGGCAGATGAATGTGCCGCTCTCAGAAAGGATGTGCTCATTGTTGAATTAAGGCCAGACACTTGAGGGATTATTAACTGATTTTCTGCTTTTGGTCCTTCAACAGCTAGTGGCGGCGTTTATTCTGTGAAAAAAAAAAACAACCGTGATGTTCCAGAGTGCAGATCATGCTGACCAGAGTAAAAAGATTTTGTACAATCTTGCGAAATGAACTGAAAACGAGCTCGAGATGTGCCGAAGAAGAAGCTTGCGTGATTTCTCCTCAAAAAACCGTACTACTCCAAAACCAAAAGCAAGTGCAAACCGGAGGAGACGTTCATACATTTAGCTGCTCCGTGGATGAATCATGCGTTCCATGCATATGAAAAGATGTGTAAATAGAAAAATAAATGCTTACAAAAATGGCATAGCATCTGTTGTGTTCTCCTCCTTTAAAAGTTCCCAGTCAAATATATAAGCACACAGTCTGGATCTGCCAAGTGCAGTGTCTACCACTAGAGATAAAACGCATGCATTCCATGCAGTGCTCTTTGCTTTGCTGTAGGGCTGCACGATACTGGAAAACAAACGGATATGGCCATATTTATCTTCTGCGGTATGAAGGAACTCTGGGATGTTCTTGAAAGAATTAAAAAATAATACTGAAAGTGCAAGGAGATTTTGTTTTGAAATACAAAATAAAAATATTTTAACTAGTGCAAGCCATCCTTTTAGTGCTGAATGATTTGGGGATTCAAAAAATATATATATTATTCAAATTATAAGTAATTGCAACCTCCAAAAAATATCTTTCATTAACCATAAAGTGAACTTTATTTATTTTTAATATTTAAATAAAAGTTTCTCACAAAAATAATTTAATTTTATAGTACAACTACACTACCAACACTGGGTTCACACCAAAAAAATAATAATGAACTATTGCGGCAGCTAGCTCTCTGCAACTCTCATATGGTCGCCCACTGAATCTAAGCAGGGCTGTGCCTGGTCAGTTCCTGGATGGGAGACCACATAGGAAAGCTAGGTTGGTGCTAGAAGTGGTGTTAGTGAGGCCAGCAGGGGGCGCTTAACCTGTAGTCTGTGTGGGTCCTAATGCTTCATTATAGTGAATGTTCTGTGGTCGTTAAAAATCCCAGGATGTCCTTCAAAAAAGAAGTAGGGGTTTAACCCTGGCATACAAATTTACAAACTGGCCTCTGTCTATCATGGCCTCCTAACCATTCTCATATCATAATTGACTTCATCACCCTGTCTCCTCTCCACCAATCAGCTGGTGTGCAGTCTGGCACAATATGGCTGCTGTTGCGTCATCCAGGTGGATGCTGCACACTGGTGGTGGACGATGAGATCCCCCCAAATATGTATAAAGCACTTTGAGTGTCCACAAAAGCACTCTATAAATGTAAGGAATTGTAATTATTGTTATTATTCACATGGGTAGATTACATACAAAGTTAATGCAAGTGCACAAATATAGGCGTGAATGATGTGGAATTAGTTTTCTATGCAAGATATTCAATTTAAGCTAAAAAAAAACCAACCTAAAATTAGCTTGAGGTGAAAAACATCCTATGAGTAATCTAGAGCAAGTGATGCAGGGCCCTGTGTTTGGTGTGAACACAGCATAAGATTTGCATCTTATTTCTTTATTTACAAAAGGTATAGTTTCAAGGTATCTAAAACTGAAAATCTACCTACTGAGTGATTCCAAACCTTCTGAACACAAAAGAAGATATTTAGACAAATGCTAAAAAATCAGCGGCCATTGACATCCATAAGAATACAACGGAAGTCAATGCAAAATATCTTCTATTGTGTTGTAGAGAAGAAAGCAATAACAGGTTTGGAAATTATGGAAATGACAGTATATATGCGCTGTAGGTTTGAGTGTAGTGATGGGAAGTTTGGATCATTTTACTGACTCTTTGAGTCTCGATCATCAAGATGAATGAATCTTTTTTTTTGAGTAATTTTGTACAATTTGTTCAATTTGCCAAAATAACAATAAAATGTTACGAGATGCTTCCAAACACATCTACAACTAGCCCAAACGTTGATCACTCTACAAACAAGTCGTAACTGTAATATTATTGTACAAAGCAATGCTACGAAGAAAGAGAAAATAATCCTCCATTGTTTACCCGGTGTTTTATCTATGATTAGCTTTGCTCCCCTCTTCTGGCATGTCTTCAAATTTCAGTCATTCGACACTGACAGTCCCATATCAGCTTAACTAATGCATACAGTCTGAGCCGGAAACACCTATGATTAGTTCACCATTTGAGTCTTCGTTTTTTTGAGTCATTCGTTCATCACGTGACTATGTAAAGAGATGACTTAAAACCAAAGACCCAGGAAATGAAAGGATCAAATCTTTTTCGGGCTCTGAGTGCATATGATTGGCTTCTGTCTTTAACGTGATGAACTAACGACTCAAACCCCATAGAAGACTTTTAACATAAATGATTTTTAACAAAGAGCTCGACACATGCACGTCACTCCCATTTTGAGGTCTCTCCATTGGCTACCAGTGAGACAAAGAATTGAATTCAAAATACTTGTGTATAAAACCGTACATGGCCCGGGCCCTCATTATTTATCTCAACTGATTGTGGCCCACACTCATTCAAGACTCTTGCTTTCCATTGATCAGTTTCTATTAAAAGATCCAAAGGCCCACCTCAAAAGCAGGGGTGAACGTGCATTCGCTATATTTTTACTCCAACTACTACTACTATAGCCGGTCCTCGCCTTCGGAACGCGCTGCCGATAGAATTAAAAATGGCTTTGTCACTGCAAATTTTCAAGTCTGAATTAAAGACATCTATTTTCTAGGTCATTTAAAGCATAAGTCCCTTCCTCAGGGGAGCCAACAGTCTCGTTTTTAACCCTGTTTAGTGTGGTCAACTGTGGTAGCATCTTCTAACTAGGCAGAATTATTTAAAGGGGCAATTACTTGTTTTAGACATTGAAACTAAACTGTTTTTATATAATCTATTTGACATATTTTATGTTCTCTTTTACATCATGTTATTGCTGTTTTGTTTATTATTTCTGTACTGCTTGTTTGTATCTTCTCTGTAAAGCAGTTTTTGCTGCCTTGAAGTCGTTTGGAAACGTGCTATGTAGATAAATTGAACTTGAATTTGAACTTGAACATAGAAGACTCGAAAAATGAACTAATTTTCTCCTCCACCTACACAAATGTGCGCATCCGCAAATGAACGAATCAATACCCGAGTGGACTCATCGTTTTCAAGTCACAAAAAACATTCATTCAAAATAAACGAATCGTTCAAGACCGACCCATCACTATTTAAGTGTACAATGGCACAACTCAAATCTAGTAGTAAAACTGTAAGCCAGTGCGTACAAATCACACCAGTGAGTCTAGAGCCCTGAGCGCATATAATTAATGAAAAATTATAACCGCAGATTGCCAATTTGCAGTAAACCATATCGCAATATTCGTTTAATTTCTATACACACATCGTGCAGCCCTACTTTGCAGGGGTAAAGCGTGACGTGGATACATATTTAGATATGACGAGTATTATGTCTGTGTCTTGACGTGTCGTCATGTTTTGTGCTGTACAAGTCTTTATAAAGAGAGTGTGTGTGGGGGTTTTAGGGTGGTGTACCCCACGCTCCGTCCGACTGAAAGCCATCTCCGGTGGAGGATGGAGCAACAGGTCCGCTGGGTGTAAAGGGATCAGTGTCTGTATCCGTCTCTCCCTCGGCTAAATATCGGCGGTCACGGCCCCAACTCGACCCTGCTGTTAACCCCGAGGCCTTCCCCGTGACCTCTTCTTTCTCCGCTGAGATGCTAAATCCGCTGGGTGACCGCTCCAGCTCCTCGTGAGTGACCGACAGGAGCGAGAGTGGTGTCCCGACCCGATGGCCACCAGTTTGGCTGACGTTGGAGGATGGCGAGTGGCTTGGCAGTGGGCTAATTGGCAGGACGGTCGGTCTCGGCGGATGTGTGTAGTATGGGGTGTTGTGTAGCGGGGGGCCGTAGCTGCAGTAAACGCGGTCGCCCGCTACGCTAACGGTTAATGTGGGGTCGCAGCGCTCCATGGTCATGTGACCCGGGCCTGTGAAGTCATGTTGCATATGCATGTCCACCAGGAAGTCCAGTTTCTTCTCCATGTCTTCCACCTGTGGGATGGTGGCAGAGTTTAGATGTGCTGCTTTGAATAAGGAAAGTGGTTTTTAAGCTGGGGTCTCTAGTAGGGGTTACCAAAGATTTATGAGGGGTCACTAAACTTGAAAATAAATAAAAACAAAACTCGTCAATCACAAAAGAAATTGTAACCTGTTTGATAAACCATGTACATTGCTTAGGCCCTCACAGATCTCTCTTTTAAATGAATGTTTTTTATAGGACGCTTTACAATAATATTCATGCATTCATTCATCTTCTTTGGCTTAGTCTCTTATTTATCAGAGGTCGCCACAGCGGAATGAACTATTCCGGCATATGTTTTACGCAGCAGATGCCCTTCCAGCCACAACCCAGTACTGGGAAACACCCATACACTCTCACATTTACACACACCGACACTCATACACTACGACTAATTTAGCTTAATCAATTCACCTACAGTATAGCGCATGTCTTTGGACTGTGAGGGAAACTGGAGCACCCGGAGGAAACCTACGCAGAAATGCTAACTAGGCCCAGCCAGAGTTCAAACCCTCTTGCTGTGGACGACTTTGCTAACCACTGAGCCACCGTGCCGCCCTTTACAATAATATATTTGTGTATATAAATTAGATTAATCGGTACCAAAGATGAAGCTGGAACTAAATCTAACGAAAAACATAATATCACGGTAAACAAACTAGTACACCAAAATTAATATGCAAGGAAAAAAATGTAATACAATTTTAATAAACAGGAAAAATCCAGAGAAACCTAAAAACTATTTGTAATTTCTTTTAAAAAAAAAAGTTGTAATTTTCTTTTGTAATAACTCGTTTGAATTTAAATGTATTGTCTTTCTATTTCTAAAGGTGTTAGGTGATCAAACTCTTATTTTAATGAATATAACTGCTTAATAAAACCGTTTTGTTTAATGCACCAAGGATTATTGGCTGTATTTATTGAGTAATGGGCAAAAATATTTATTTACAAAATAATTAATAATAATGTATTGAATTACAACAATAAAAAAAATCAGCATCGAGCAAAATGCTGCATAAAAATATGGACATACATTTTCATTTAGACTGTCTGCTGTTTTTGTTTTGTGATGGAATTTTTTAATATTGATGATCATATGTTGATGACTGACCATTATATATCAATATTATAAATAGGGATGTCCAGATCCGATCACCTGATCAGGACTTGAATATATATTTCTATATATATATACATGCATATATACATATATCATACTTAACACATCTATGGTTATGCGGTGGCACAGAATAAGACATCTTTGTTAACAGAGTTGTTGAATGTTAAAGTTAATATAAGGTGAATTAAAAAAATAAATAAGTAAAATCGTGGATCTGTTTCTTTGCTCTTCTTTATTCTTTTTTATGTATTATAGAAGTATCGGATTGACTTTCAGTATCAGTAGATACTCAAAATCAAATCACTCGGACTTGAGGGGAAAAAAACTGATCGGGATATCCGTAATTATAAATTGATTAAGGTTATGCTAAAGTAAAAATCAAATGCATTATAATCATTGGGCTATTACAGCCATATGTAATCTATTGGTTGTTTAAGAGTTAAGAAGCTGTAGAAAAATTCTTATCTAAAACATTGTAACATTGTCTTTAAAAATGCCTGTGAATCCAATCTAGGGATTCTTTTGCTAACAAAGGCTGTTCAATCTCCAGAGAATTAAAGCAATTAAAAGACAAACTTTGTCTGACTTTATTCAATTTCAGTCTTCACATCTTAATGTATTCCTTGTGAACAGGAAGAAGAACTTGCCAGTAAAGTTCTTATAATAGATCTATTCAGACTAATGTAAAAGTTTTTTTTTTGTAAGATTTATTTTTGGCTTTTTATTTATTTTATTTTTTTGCCTTTATTAGATAGGACAGTATTGAGACAGGAAGCGAAGTGGGAGAGAGAGAGGGGGTAGGGTAGGGAAATGTCATCGAGCCAGGATTCGAACTCGCAACACCCTGACGTGCTATTGCACCATATGTCGGCGTACTAACCACTAGGCTATTGCGCCGACAACTAATGTAAAAGTTAAACTTAGCATTTCTATTAAGTGAAAATAAGCATATTGCCCATAAAACTGCATTATTATTATTACTTTAATTGTTAGGCAGCTGTTGCGGTATAAAAATCGAACAACTGATTGTTGAACTTTTGTCTGCTTGGTGAAGAGGGCGGGTGAAGGGCTGTTTAGAATATTGAATGTTAAAATAGGTCAATCTGGAATAAAGGTTATAAATCTCTGAATTAAAAGGTGAGATTATGTCAGAGGGTTTGAGTACCTGTCTCTCCACCCGCACAAATCTACCCATCATGCTTTGGTCTTCGGGATCTGGCAGGCTTGTTTTGGCAAGGTACGACTCCTGTCTGGGAGAAAGCAGGAAAAAAAAATTAAATAATGAATAAAACTTTGTTAGAACTGTTGCACTTACCTAATTTGAGCCAATTCTAAAGCTGGCTCTTAGTTTATTAATCAGAATTGTTGAATGTGATTTGTGATTTAAATGTTTTGTTTTATTATAAAGGTCTTATAAAATAAAATAAAATCCTTCTCAATTTTCAAATAAACATATTGTTATTTAGAGCTTCTTTTCATAAAAACGACAGCTGCCCCGTATAGCAAAAGTGTTTAGCGAAAACCATGGAATATTTCTTCACTTATGTGAAGTGAAATCGTTGATGTTCCGAAGTCTAAAATGCATATATATATATATATATATATATATATATATATATATATATATATATATATATATATATATATATATATATATATATATATATATATATATATTTATATATTTGCTATTTATTATTAAAAAAGCTCTAAAGGACAAAAAATATGTTTTAATTTGTAAGAAATATCATAAGTATTTACAGAAAAAAAAAGTTTTACTCAAATACATAAGTATACATTTATACAAAAGTATACAAAACCAGAACATTTTCAAGTGGTCTCTTAATCTATTTCCTACATATGTATATGCAAGTTATTATCATTTTAGATTTTATATACATTTTTGCATAATTAAATTAAATCTTTTAATCAATAATTAAATCTAAAATCTAAAACAAGTTAAAGGTCTTCTGGACTTGGATGTGACATGAATCCACAAAACTGTTTATCTTACTAAAAGAAGCATGTCTGAAGTTCATTTGCATCTCAATATAACATGCACATGTACAAGTAAATAGAAAGGTATAAAAGTAAAATTTCTTTATTATGAATGATTTCAGTTTTTACCTAGGAGACTGCTGGGATGGGTACGGAAAAGGAGTTTTCTGGGGCTTCTTGTGTTTTGGAGTCAGTGTTGGTCCAGGAGTCAGAATCAGATCTAACCTGAAGATGAAGCAAAGCCAGATATTACATTTTTAAAGAACCAACTGAATAAATCATCACAAATAAATTGCATCTTAAAAGGGTCACATGACATGATTTCATGTTTTTTTTTAGTCTTTGAAGTGTTGATATATATTATAAGATTGACTGTCTCAACATAAGAGATATTCTTTATTAAAGTTAAGACTCATCTACGGGTTCATAATATTCATTCAAGCACACCCCAACAAATCTATATCTCCACCCATACAGTATGTATACCCTGTAGTGGTTGATGCCAGGTCATGGAGACTCTGTGTGTTTCATTGTACAAGTAAAACTACTAAAATCAATTAGCTTGGTCATCTGTATTTTCCAATCACAATGCACAGGATGGCTGGCCAATCAGAGCACACAACAAAGAAAGGCGGGCCAGAGGCAAGCAAAAATAATATATGGAATGTGCATTACACTTTGCATTACACCAAATACACAAAATAATGTTAGTTTCTAGCAATATCATATGAACCAATTTTGAGTATGTGTGTGGGGTACCGTGTCTGCAGATATTTGATTCTGGTGAGCATGTCGAGGTGTCCAGCAGAATACTGTTCAATCACATCCTTCACATCATATGGCCTCAGAGTCTCCTTAAAACGCTTCTTATTCAGCAGGAACATTATAATCCTTCAACACACAAATGATTCCACAGTCCAAATGATAGACATTTTTCAAAGATCTGTTGTTTCTGTAAAAGTGTTTGTAGATGTACACTACCATTCCAAAGTTTGGGGTCTGTAAGCGTGTTTTTGAAAAGTGATCTTATCTTTTATTTGCATGTTATACAGTATACTGTAACTGTAAACATTAATTCTGTGCAGAGTTATTACAATGTAAAATATATATATATATATATATTTTTTTTTTTTCTATTTTTATTAGTGTGTTAACACATCATGCCATTAAGCGTGAATCATCTCAGACTGGTTTCTTGAACATGACAATGAATTCACTGAACTCAAACGGCATCCACAGTCACCACATATCAATCCAATAGAGCACCTTTGGGATGTGGTGGAAAGAGAGATTCACATCATGGATGTGCAGCCACTGCAGCAACTGTGTGATGCTATTATGTCAATATAAACCAAAATCTCTGAGGAATATTTCAAACACCTTGTTGAATCTGTCACAAGGGATTAAGGCAGTTTTGAAGGCATAAAGGGGCCCAACCCGGCATTAGAAAGGTGTACCTAATAAAATGGCCGGTGAGTGTATGTGCTTGTGCGTATTTATACATACATACATACATATACACAGTACACATGTATATATTATTTAAATACAATCTTGGATGTGAATAATTATTTCACAGCACTATTAATTATTAATTAGTTATAATCTTTCAGAAGTAACACTAACAAGCCAATTGTGTGCTTAAGAAATATTTCTTATTATTATTATTCATATTGAAAACAGTTATGCTGCTGCATATTTTTGTGGAAACAGTGTATAAATACCTTAATATAATGCATTTGTTCAAGATTTTTTAAGAACAGATAATCCAAAAGAACAGCATTTATTTTAAATATACAGTTGAAGTCAGAATTATTAGCACCCCTTTGATTTCTATTTTCTTTTTAAAAACAATTCCCAAATAATGTTTAACAGAGAAAGGAAATTTTCACAGTATGTCTGATAATATTTTTTCTTCTGGAGAAAGTCTTATTTGTTTTATTTAGGCTCAAATAAAAGCAGTTTTAAATTGTTAAAAACCTATTTTAAGGTCAAAATTATTAGCCCCTTTAAGCTATATTTATTTCTGATTGTCTACAGAACAAACCATCATTATACAATGACCTAATTTCTCTATCATGCCTAGTTAACCTAATTAACCTATTAAATGTCACTTTAAGCTGTATAGAAGTGTCTTGAAAAATATCTAGTAAAATATTATTTACTGTCATCATGGCAAAGATAAAATAAATCAGTTATAAGAAATGAATTATTAAAACTATTATGTTTAGAAATGTGTTGAAAAAATCTCTTCGTTAAACAGAAATTGGGGAAAAAATTTAATGGCAGGGCTAATAATTCAGGGGGGGCTAATAATTCTGACTTCAAATGTATGTTTTCTGTCACTTTTGACCAATTTAATGCATCACTGCTGAAAAAAATACTAAAGTCTTTAATATACGCAAACTTTTAAGTGATAGTGTATCATGTTTATGTGTAAAAATAAAAATTAAATTAAATGAAACGAATAAAGTCACATTTGAAATGAATTAGGATAAAGAGTTTTTAATGATGCATGTTTTGGTATTTGTGTACCGCAGTGCTCGTATCACTAGTTTGAGAGTGGGAATCATCTCCTCCAGCAGTATATCAGGCGGGAAGCCCTTCTCCTCAGGGGTGGGATCAGGAAGACCACCAGTATCTGCAATTAAGCAACAAAACAAGGTCAGGTTAACTTCATTTTTATGATTGTCTACTATAGTTGTTCATGAAGGAGAATAATGGCTCTAATATTATGCTTATAATTATAGTGTCTATTACTATTATATTGTTTATTACTAAAAGTGTGTATGTTTATGTATATTGTTTATGCAAATGGACTGTAGAGTCCACATGTCAGTTGGTACTATTATTTTACAAGTGTGCATTAGTTTTAACATTAGTTCTCAAAATAATTGCTTCAGTAGAGTTGAAAATAAAGTTTTCTATAAGGAAGCAATATTTGATTTAGAAGTTTTTATTTTACTATTGTAAAAGCCATTTGCATAATGACATATGGTGCATCCAGAAAGTATTCATAGCGCTTCACTTTTTCCACATTTCTTTATGTTACAGCCTTATTCCTAAATGGATTAAATTCATTTATTTCCTCAAAATTCTACACACAATACCACATAATGACAATGTAAAAAAATATTTTTTGAAATTGTTGCAAAATTATTTAAAATAAAAAACCTGAAAAATCACATGTACATCAGTATTCACAGCACTTGCCGTGAAGCTCTAAATAGAGCTCAGGTTCATTCTGTTTCCACTGACCATTCTTAGGATGTTTCAGCAGCTTAATTGGAGTTCACCTGTGGTAAATTCAGTTGATTGGACATGATTTGAAAAGGCCTACATGCATCTGTTTATAGAAGATCCCAGGATTGACAGTGCATGTCAAAGCACAAACCAAGCATAAAGACAAAGGAATTGTCTGTAGACCTCTGAGAGAGGATTGTATCGAGGCACAAGGCTGGGGAAGGTTACAGAAAAATTTCTGCTGCTCTGAAAGTTCTAATGAGCACAGGGGCCACAATCATCCGTACGTGTAAGATGTTTGGAACCCCCAGGACTCTTCCAAGAGCTGGCCGGCCATCTAAGCTGAGTGATCGGGGGAGAAGGGCCTTAGTCAGGGAGGTGATCAATAACCTGACGGTCACTCCATCTGAGCTCCAGTGTTCTTCAGTGAAGTGAGGAGAAACTTACAGAACAACAACCATCTGTGCAGCAATCCACCAATCAGGCCTGTATGGTTGCGTGGCCAGTCAGAAGCCACTCCCTGCCTGGAATTTGCCAAAAGGCATCTAAAGGAGTCTCAGACTATAAGAAATAAAACTCTGTGGTCTAATGAGAGTAAAGCAGAACTCCTAGGAGTAAATGCCAGGCGTTACGGTTGGAGAAACCAGGCACAGCTCATCACCAGGCTAATACAATCCCTACAGTGAAGATTTGGGATGATATTTGGGATGGTGTTGTGGGGATGTTTTTCAGCAGCAGGAACTGGAAGACTAGTCAGGATAGAGGGAAAAATGAATACAGCAATGTACAGCGACATCCTGAATGAAAACCTGCGTCAGAGAGCTCTTGACCTCAGTCTGGGGTGACGTTTTATCTTCCAGCAGCAGAATTACCCAAAGCACACCATCAAAATATGGCTCAACAACAACTTGTTGAATGTCCTTGAGTGGCCCAACCAGAGCCCTGACCTAAATCCTATTGAACATCTCTGGAGAGATCTGAAAGTGGGTGTTTTATTTATAATAAATTTGCAACAATTTCAAAAATCTTTTTTCACATTGTCATTATGGGGTATTTTGTGTAGAATTTTGGGGAAATAAATGAATTTAATCCATTTTGGAATAAAGCTGTTACTTAAAAATATTGGAGAAAGTGAAGCGCTTTGAATACTTTCCGGATGCACCATATGTGGTTGATTTTAATAATGGTATATAATAACAGTATTCAAATGTTTGAAAAGAAATGTTAGAGGAATTAGCATTCGTTGTGTATTTCAATTGAGGCACATGTTCTCTCTCAATGTGTGTGTGTGTGTGTGTGTTAGACAAACCTACACTAAAAGCATAACATATCCCAACAAAGACAGTAATACTTGGCATTTTTGACATTATGGGGCCACTTAGTCTGGCACCACAATGAAAACAGCTTATAAATCATCCTAACTGAAGCTTTTATGAAAATGTAAAGGCACAGAAGGTTTACTGTGAGGTTTATGTTTACAGGTAGGGACATGAAATATGATTAGCACAGAATAAAAAGCCATTAGACCCTTAATGGTATAAAAGGAGATGTGTGTGTTTGGGAGTGTGTCGTACCCTCAGAGCTCTGTCTCAGGGCGTAGGCCTTCATTCTGAAAGCAGTTCTAAATCTCTCTCTGTTACTGAATCCCGCTGGTTTGCCCTCTTTTGATGGACTCTCTTCAATGGCCTCCGCCGGCCCACAGTTTCCTGGCACACTTTCAGGATTGGCAGCAGGCATCATGACGCGGGCTCTCACTGTGGATGGCCTCGGAGTCGACAGACGAACACGATCCAGCAAACTCAACTTCTGACTGAAGAAAACAGAATGAAAGAACTGTTTAATCTCAGAGCTGCTAACACTTTATTTTATTATTATTTAGCATTTTGTTATTCTTATCAGGTCTTTTCACACTGCACTGACAGTAACACTGGGTTATTGTTCAAACGCTACTATTAAAGAGATAGTTTACCCTAAAAATGAAAATTTAGTGATCATTTACTCATCATTCACATGTCTCAAACCTGTTTAAGTTTCTTTCTTCTGTTGAACCCAAAATAAGATATTTTGAAAAATTATAAAAATCTGTAACCAATGACTTCTATTGCATTTGTTGTTCCTACTATGGAAGTCATTTCTGGTTACAGGTTTCTGACATTAAAAACAACTGAAAAAACTGAAAAAAGACAGGCACACAGGTTTGAAACCTATTGAGGATGAGTACATTTTCATTTTTGAGTGAACTATCCCTTTAACATTAGATAAATGAGTGTCACAAATGTGTTTAAGAGGGAGTTTTAAAATGCAAGATTAAAATATTCAATTATTGAGGACAATCCCAAACAGTCATGGGAAATTAGCAAACTAGAAAAAGAGACGAATTCAATCTAATAATTCTGCTTTAGTTTGTCATTTGAAAGACATCTACTGATTTTGTTTAAATATTTGTTGACAATTGAAAGAATGATTGTTCAGCTTGTGTGCATTTCATAGTACATAACGCTGTGTGAGTATCAGCCACTGCCTTGAGCATCAGAGCAGAGCTCCTTAATATTCATGACCCTTCCAAACAAGGTAAAACATACCTTTTTTTTTTATAAAACAGACAGCATCAGAATGGGAAAGAAAGGTGATTTAAGTGTCTTTAAATGTGGCATGGTTGTTGGTGCCAGACGGGCTGGTCTAAGTATTTCAGAAACTGCTGATCAACTGGGATTTTCAGACACAACCATCTCTAGGGTTTACAGAAAATCGTCTGAAAAAAACAAAAAATCTAGTGAGCGGCAGCTCTGTGGGAACAAAGGCCTTGTTGATGACAGAGGTCACAGGAGAATGGCCAGACAGGTTCCAGCTGATAGAAAGGCAACAGTAACTCAAATAACCACTAGTTACAACCGAGGTATGCAGAAGAGCATCTCTGAACATCTCTGAATGTCCAACCAGACGGATGGGCTACAGCAGCAGAAGACCACACTGAGTGCCATTCCTGTGAGCTAAGAACAGGAAACTGAGGCAACAGTTCACACAGGCTCACCAAAATTGGACAAAAAGAGATTGAAAAAATTTGCCTGGTCTGATGAGTCTCGATTTCTGCTGTGAGATTCAGATGGTAGGGTCAAAATTTGGCATCAACAACAAGAAAACATGGATCCATCCTGCCTTGTATCAACGGTTCAGGCTGGTGGTGGTGGTGTAATGGTGTGGGGGATATTTTCTTGGCACACTTTGGACCCATTAGTACCAATTAAGCATCGTGTCAATGCCACAGCTTACCTGAGTTTTGTTGCTGACCATGTCCATCTATTTATGACCACAGTGTACCAATCTTCTGATGGCTACGTTCAGCAGGATAACATGCCATGCCAAAGTGCAAATCATCTCAGACTGGTTTCTTGAACATGAGAATGGGTTCACTGTACTCAAATGGCCTCCACAGTCACCAGACATCAATCCAATCACAATCCAAGCACCCTTGGGATGTGGTGGAACAGGAGGTTTGCCTCATGGATGTGCAGCAAACAAATCTGCAGCAGCTGCGTGAAGCTATCAAGTCAATATGGACCAAAATCTCTGAAGAATATTTCCTGTACCTTGTTGAATCTATGTCACGATGGATTAAGGCAGTTTTCAAGACAAAAGGGGGTCCGACTTGAGTAAGGTGTACCTAAAAAAGTGGCCAGTGATTGTATGTGCTTGTGTGCGCGATTGAGAATTCTTGCTTGAACTGTACAAATAATGTCCAAACTATAATCTTCAAACTTTTCAAACCTGTTTCTAACTTTCTACCCAGGCTGTGGTGATGATTGTTTATCTCGACAAAACTTTCCTTTGTTCACTTTATCAAGTTTATTATAAGCATGTGTGTAGGCAGTAGGTCTGTGTCTATTGTGCAGGTCATTCCATAAGAGCCAAAGCCCTGGAGCGCCTGTTGATCTTAATGTGGCCCTGCACACACACATACAGTACACACACACACATAAACACGCACTCGTCCTGCAGGAGAAACTAATCCCTTCCCAAGAAACAACGCAGGGCTTTCTACTGTGAAGTGTCCCTAAGGATGAACACACACACACACACACACACACAGACAGACTATGCACTGCCGCACACACAGCATCTCTTGAGTACTGTGAAAAGAAGAAGATTGAAGTGGTGAGAGGGACTGAAACATCTCAAAATGCTCCACAATTACAGCTGATTACCAACCAGTTACTGATACAACACTTTCCCACACACACACATACACACATATACCGCAAAATCTGTCTGCAGATCATTCAGGCTGTCTGAGAGGGTTTTTAATGATTGAAAAGTGACTCTGTGAGTACTCGTGTGTGTGTGTGTGTGTGTGTGTGTGTGTGTGCTGCAGACAGGAGCTCATCAGACATACAGGAAAACAGTGAAAACGTGAGAACGGACAGGAAGAGAATCAACGCATAGATTTCACATGAATGGAGCACAATATCATGAGCTACTCAGTAGTGTGTGTATGCTCCAGTTTCTCCATTTCAAGCTTGTTTTAGTAGGTCATTGATAATGTCAGGCTGCAGGTTTCCCAGACATTTGGCTTTGTCTTGTGTGTGTGTGTGTGTGTGTGTGTGTGTGTGTGTGTGTGTGTGTGTGTGTGTGTGTGTGTGTGTGTGTGTGTGTGTGTGTGTGTGTGTGTGTGTGTGTGTGTGTTTGTAGTGGTCAGGTATTGCTTACATTGTTGGGACAAAATGTCTACAAATGGATAGAAAGACCTGAAATCACCCTTTGCTCTAGATAATATTTTCATCTAAAAGTGTTCCTTTGGAAAAATAACAAACTAAAACTTTGCATTTAAATATCAAACAAATATATTATGCAAGTCTTCTGAGTAGACAACACAACTTGTTAGAGAATTCAAAACTTCTCAAAAATTAGTCAAAAATTATTTTGCAAGAGAACACCAGTTTTAAAAAGTAAGATCAATGAAATACATTCACTCATTCATTTTCTTTTCGACTTAGTCCTTTTATTAATCAGGGGTCACTACAGCGGAATGAACCACCAACTTATCCAGCATATGTTTTATGCGGCGGGTGCCCTTCCAGCTGCAACCCATCAATGGGAAACATCCACACACACTCATTCACACATACACTACGAACAATTTAGCCTACTCAATTCACCTATAGCGCATGTCTTTGAACATACAAACTTCACACAGAAATGCCAACTGGCCCAGCCTAGACTTGAAAAAGTGATAGCGCTACACATTTAGCCACCATGCCACCTAAATAAAAAAAAATTAAGAAGTGGAGCAAGAGCAATTTACAATCTCACAAGTAGTGGCACTTTAAGTTGAACACACCTACTCACTGTCTCACTACCAATTATTTCCTGTATATTTTCCTGTATAAGTCACATCTCAAATATAGGAGAAGCATGATTTTGCTGCAGACAACTTCTCTGTTCTTTGTAAGCAAAGAATTAAAATGACAGGCCTATATTAAAAAAGGTTCCTTAGAGTTTGTAAGTATTTATCAGTGATCCACCCGCACCACTTAAATTAGAAATCATTGCTACATTATTTCCTGTTGCTTCAAATATTAAAGGCACAATGATTTTCCCAAGAAGTCTGCAGTAATGTTGCAAATGCTAAAATGTTTTAGCATTCTTAGTCGTCTCGTTTCATTCCATAACAAAAATTAATCCTAATCAACTACTTAAAGAAAAAAAAAACACATTTATTTGCTAATATTTTGTTAATTTTGGGCTTTTTGTTTTATTTTAATAATAAACTATAGTCAAAACATCAGCCGAACAATTACAAAGCCAGTTAAAGGGTTAATATATCTTGTAGGTAATGCATCAAATCTGTTTTTTAGCTAATATCACACACTGTAAGGTATATTTAAAGTTGTTATGGGAGATGAGCCACCCCACATGATCCTCTGCAGCAAACTGTCACCGAAGCATCAACAGGTAATGTTTACACTGGTTAGCATGCATGCTAGCAGCTACAATCACCTAAAGGAGTACTTGAGGAGTAACTGAGGCAATTGAGGTAGTTTAGTGTGTCACAACAGTGATAATGTCAGGCTGCAAGTTTCCCAGCCAACTAGCCTTGCGTATGTTTGCGTAGGTGTGTGGCCTGCAGCAGTGTATTAGCAGTATTAGCATGTAATCTGATCTCCCATCTGGACTGAACATGGATTACAGGTCTCGGGTCAGGTGGTCTAAACAAGCCCCGCTCTCAATCCGGCTCTCCTTCTGTTTCTATCTGTAAATCTTTCATCTTTTAATAAATGGACTGTCAGGCCAGTGTCCAGGTCAAGGACAACCGATACTCGCGATTATTATAAACGCAGTCCATCTTTGTCAAAGCTCGTCACGCTCAAATCGCTAATAACAGTTCCCATCATTTTCCTGACAGTGACACGGACGTCACACACATCCAGCCGTCCATTAAAACTCTCCCTCGGCTCTGTACTGACACCCACATCTATCAGTGATCCATAATTCACTCTTTTCTAATGGACTCTGTAATATCACATATAAAAGTACTGTCCGCATGTCCCCGAACTGAGAAACGAGCTCACACACACACACACACACACACACACACACACACACACACACACACACACACAGTAACGCACCGCTGGTCATTACGCCTCTGGCACTGAATTAATGGAGGTGCTGGTTATTAAGAGTTATTTAAGGAAACACATTTCACAGATTCATTAATCTCACACTTCACTGAGATGCTGGAGATCTTTAAAAACAGTGACTGAGAAAGAGAGAGGCAATGAGAGAGAGAAAAACAAGAGAGAAAGAGAGAGGCAACGAGAGAGAGAAAAACAAGAGAGAAAGAGAGAGGCAATGAGAGAGAGAGAGAGAGAAAAACAAGAGAGAGAGACTTACCTGGCCATAACTTCAAGAGGATCCTTCCTGCAGGAGATGACAGGAACAACACACACATTTAGTTCATAATTATGACAATGGTAAAATTCCAATCAACAACGAATGACTCTGTTTGAATATTCAGTTACACAAGTACTGTACACATACTGATATAATTTGGTAATATTGATGAAAACCTACTGTATGAAGTTATGATAATAAATATTGAAGGAATAGTGCTATATATATATATATATATATATATATATATATATATATATATATATATATATATATATATATATATACATACAAACATACATATATATAATACACTGTATATATATTTGTATAGAAGTTTCTGAAATTAAATGACAGAGCCAGTGTCAGTATATAAATACCAGTGGAGGGGTATGAATAAAGGCTAAATAAAATGTGTGTGTGTGTGTGTGTGTGTGTGTGTGTGTGTGTGTGTGTGTGTGTGTGTGTATATATATATATATATATATATATATATATATATATATATATATATATATTCTGTTTTAAGATAAAGTGTGCCAGTTTTATCAGCCCTAGTTGCAACTAATGGAACTGCAAAAGTAATTATATAAACATGCAAACTTACATTACAATGCAATGCATTATGTTATTATACAAAATAACTAAAAACAAACAGGCATTTCTATTGTTATGTTAGTATTATTTATATACAATTTTTCCTTAATACTATTTTTTGATAGGCTTATTTATTCTACTTTATTCTGTTTTATTTTATAATTTGATTTGAGCTAAATTTGTTGTGATTGTTTGATGAACCCTTTTTAATATTACAACTTAAGAGTTTGTTTAATTTATTTCAGTGTTTATGTAGTTATATTTTAGTATTAAATAATATACTCTATTAGTAAAAATTTTTTTGATTTAGCTTATGAAATTAAATTTTATTGCATTTTAGTTTAGTTTCATTTTTATAAATACTTAAAGAGCCCATATTATGGGTTTTTGAAAATTCCCCTCCATGTAGTGTGTAACACAGCTCTAAGTGAAGTGAAGTATCCAGCTAAGGCTTAAATCTGTAAGAATACAGTGTTTAAAACTGTTGATTCATCTATAAAAGAGTCGAATCATAGTGCTTCAAACGAGTCGCCTTGATACCGACTCATTAGGTGTTTCGCCATGACGTACGAACGAAACAAAGTTTTTCACGTGCACGCGCAAACCCGGGAGATTTCAAACCTGAGGCCCTGCCCTCTGACGCAGTAACCCAGACACACACACACACACACACCCACAAACACACGCACACCCACAAACACACGCACACAAACATGCCGGTCGATTGAAGTCACACTGCAGATGGATATATTGAGTCTCTACCCAAAGATGAAACATCAGCATTATAACCAAGCAGTTGGAAACTTCTGGAAGCTACATGCTACAAAGAATACTTCATCTGAGTTTGTTAAAGGAAGGATCAGTAAAGAGTAACTGATGGACGTCAGGATGGGTTTCTTCCTACATTTCTCAAGTGTAAGTACGTGCGGTTAAAGTTGTTGCCTCGTTTACTCTAGCTTGCAAATGTATTTAGTTGTGATTTGTTACTTGTAACCGCGTGTACTGTATCAGGTTAACTGGATATATTATCTTATCGCGTGCAAAGTCACGTTAAAAACGCGACGCGTGCTGTTTGTTTATGGAGCTCCGTGCTAGAGTTCTGCTCCCGCGATTTATTCGGAAATGTATTCCCGCGCCGCAGAAATCTGGCGCGGGGAGAGAGAGAGAGAGAGAGAGAGAGAGCGAGAGAGAGAGCGAACGAACGAACGAGCTCTGTGTACTTTGTGCTGTGTGTGTACAGACAGCTTGGCTGTCTGGACTGTATACTGGGTGATATTTGGTTGTGTTCTCCGCTCTAGCGGGACCGGGCGCGGCGGGCAGAAAACGGAGCGGGTTCTCAGGCTAAAACCTGGCGGGTGCGGGCTGAAGCGGGAGCGTTGTCATCCGGAGGTGTGTGTGTGTTTTTGTGTGTGTGTGGTATGGCGAGTACACGACTGTCTCCTTCGTTCGGTTATCCGTGGCACTATCCACTCGCCATAGTGTGGCAGCTAAAGTCCACGCCTACACTATCGAGCGTGTATGAACTGTGATTACTTTTTAAATTGCTGATTAGCTATTGGCCATTTCCCTCTCTGACTGAAGGCAGTCGACCAATCGCGACAGACTGTCATCGGTCCAATCAGCGCAGATTAGCTCCGCGCTAAGGAGGGGTTTGGGAACAAATGAATCACTGGACGATTCATACAGGAGTCGCTGGGATAATTAGATAAAAATAAATGCAGATTATAAGACCATGAAAGTGTTTTTTGACCTTGCATGCATATTAGACTGTTGTTGGAGACCCTTACAACCAAGATATGACCTTATTTCATGTATAATATGGGCTCTTTAAATGTGTGTTTTTAATCATTATTTTTGTATAAATAAATAAATAAATGAATAATTCAGTGTTACATTGTCTCTGGCTTAAGGCATTACTAACTAACCTGACCATATTAGCCTCTGCTGGCAGATATTGTAACTACACTATATAAATATATCTTTTACATTGTCAGTCAGTTAAAAAACTTCAGTTTTCAGGAATCAAATATAAATTGCAAATATTTTACATAATTACAACAGCAATTTTACAACCAACCAATTTTTTGAGAGAGCTCCTAAAAGCATTAAACTGTCATATATTTGTTCATATCTGATATTACTATTGAATGATTCAAGAATGTGTCCATTATTACTATATTTTATTTTCACATTTTTAAGGGACATTAGAAAAATCTTCAAAAGATCTTTTTATACAGAGTGATATATTTTATACCTGTCGTCAAGTTAAACTGAGTTTTTTTCATTACTATGATGTAATATATTGTCCACGCACAAGTGTGAATACCTCACTGTAACATCTAGCAGACCTCTAGATGATGCTGTCTCTGCATGCAGACAAACACACATATGGATATAAACAAGACAAATCAACATTAAAAGATGCAGAGAAATCAAGACAACAACACAAGTAAAAGCTGTCATGAGCAACACTGAAATGATAAAACAACCCAGTGGTAACATAAAATCATGATGATAACAAACATGAAAGTAAATAAACTAAAACAAAGTATAAACACTCAGCCACTGAAATGATTTTAATGAGATGTGCACAGAATGTATGTGTATGATACCTGAAGCATGGCAGAGAGATCACAGTCTCATAGAATCTCCATGTGGCGATGAGATCTTCTCTGACGGGGTTGGTGGAGTAATATCTCCATGCAGCCTGAAATCAATATTCAAAACTGAACATTAAAGGAACACTATTTCAATTATCTGCTTTTACAGCTCAACATCAGAGTTTAAAAGCTGAGTTTCACTATTTTTTAATTCATTCAGCTGATCTCTGGGTCTGGCGGGAGCACTTTCAGCCTAGCTTAGCATAAACTGTTGAATCAGATTAGATCATTAGCATCTCGCTAAAAAAAAAAATCTAATTTTCTGTAGCTCTGTAGTTACATCATACAATCTAAATAATATTAATCATACAATGAATCATACAATTGTAAATAAGAGTGATTGTAATTGAAAAGTTGCTATTTTTTAGGTCGATATGGCTACTATATTCTCATTCTGGTGTAATATTCAAAGAACTTTTATAATTACAAAATAGCAACTTTTTATTTCCATTCATGCATGATATAACAGAATAGTCAAGCTTTAAACAAGATAAATATCGAAACTCTTTTTTAAAAGTTTTTGAGCAAGATGCTAATGGTTTAATCCGATTCATGAATCTATGCTAAGCTAAGCTAAAAGTGCTCCTGCTAGACCCAGAGATTGGCTGAATAGATTCAAAAATGGTAAAACTAAACTGTTTAACTCTATGAGAAATGTAAAATGAGCTTTCTTTTAAAAGTGGAGTGTTCCTTTAAGCAAATGTGCTGTTGAGGAGTGAAAAAAATGGGGTAAATTTACTGCTGATGTAAGTTGATGTAAGTTTATAGACCAGAATAGTTGCAATGTGTCTGGTTACCTGTATTAATGAAGCTGCGGGATGTCTGCGTTTCTCAAAGTGTTTCTGTCTGTGCTGTTCCTGAACTTTCAGAGCCAGACCTGAACCAAGAATGCCCTACAAACATAAGAGATTATATTTTCAACAAACTTTTTATGCATTTTGGCCTTTCATTTACTGTATATGACACCTTTTATTGGCAACCAGTAAATGTGCACTTTTGAAATTGGTTTGAGAGTACAGAGACTGGAAAGGGACTTGATGGTGGGGGAAAAAATAGGTGGACGATAAAAAACTGGATGAGAGTGATAGGAAAACTTTTTTTTTTTTTTTTTAAGTTTTTGCGTTCACTTGCACAGATGTTTGCCCTATCAAGCAAAGATGTTTTGTAAGGGAATGCAAAGATGCAAAACAAACATTTCCTGTTCACTTCATACATGTCAACCCAGGATTTTTTATTTATTTATTTTTGTCAGGATTCTCCCGTATTTTACCATTCTATCCAGCTATCATCCTATCATTAAGTATTTTCCCATATTTCTGATATATTTTTAATCTTTAAAGCATGCTGAAACTAATATAAAAATGTCTGCATTCACTTTCTTTTCATTAAAGCTGTGCATCGATCATCGCCCTTTATATGCAACCTCTATATCAGTGAATACATGTATAAGCGGTGACTGTCGAAAGCGTTCCGTATGATAAACTGATCCCAGATCAGCTTCAGTACACCCCATTTAAAGTGACACCTCTGTTATCAAACAAGTGAAGCGCAGCAAATGAATTTCTCATTTTGTTTTGTTTGATGGCAGAGGTGTCACTGTAAGAATGCACAGATCTATAATGAAAGCATTCAATTACTTCAGGAACTGTCTGTGTTCATTTAGAAAAAATTAGCAATTAGTTTAAAAAAAACAAGCAGGACGGACATGTTTACAAATTATTAAGTGTATTTGTCTGTTTAAATGTATCTTTTACAGTCTATGGCAGGGGTGGCCAACCCAGTTCCTCGAGAGCCACCTTTCTGTAGATTTTAGTTGCAACCCATATCAAACACACCTGCCTGTTAGCAACTGAAATCTGCAGGAAGGTGGCTCTCCAGGAACAGGGTTGGCCACCCCTGGTCTGTGGTTTAAACACACACCCGAATACCAAAGTGTCCAGCACTTTTGCTCCTTTTTAAATGGGGTGTACAGAAGCTGATCTGGGATCAGTTTATCATATGGAGTGCATCCGTCAGTCAGCCAGTGCTTGTACATGTATTCAATGATTTAAAGGTTGCATATGAAGGGCGATGAACGAGGCACAGCTTTAATGGAAAGAAAGTGAATGCAGACATTTTTATATTAATTTCAGCGTCCTTTCAAGATTAAAATATATAAGAAATATGGGAAAATACTTAATGATAGGATGATAGCAGGATAGAATGGTAAAATACGAGAGAATCCTAGTAAAAACGGGAGGGTTGACATGTGTGAAGGAAACAGAAAGTGTTTGTGGAAAAACGGTTTTGCGAGGGAACGCAAAACATCTTTCCATACCTTCGCAAAACATCTTTGCATTCCATTGCAAAACATCTTTGCATTCCTTCACAAAACATATTTGCGAGATAAGGCAAAACATCTTTGCAAAAAAAAAAAAAAAAAAGTTTTCCTATCACTCTTTTTCTTTTTTCTTCCACCCAGTTTTTTCCCCCCACCATCACATCTCTTCTGGTTCTCCATATGAAAGTGCAGATTTTTGACTGTTATTGTCTTTGATAAGACACAACTTTGTACTCATCATGTTCAGTTTTTAGGTATGCTCAAGTACTTGACAACCAAAAAAAAGAATGGACAACTATAGCACAGGGCTGTGTTTGTGCCTCCTTAAGTGATAGTTGACCAAAGAATTTAAATTTATTCACTCTTCATGAGCCATACTATGTATTATGTCAGTGGCTACTGGATTACAACATTTTTCAAAAGTATCCTCTTTTGTGATGAACATAAATAAACATCTCTTACATATTTTGAAAGGTGAGTAAATGAGGTCGGAATCTTCATATTTGGGTGAACTAACCCTCTGCTGCTTGATTTTAAAGTGTTGTTGTCAGTGCTTCATTGCTGCACTATTACAATGTTCAATGGACCTGTGACTGCATGCAAAAGTACACTGACATATCAATATATGTGTTTACATCTTGTTTGATGCGTTGTAACTTTTTACTTCAACTTTTTTGTGTAATGTATACACGTTTATGCATGTACAACGCAAAGCTCTCATAACAGTCCCAAGTCCAGATACTGTATTACTTCCACAAACACCTAAATCATAGCTTGAAGCACAAAGGGATAAGAAAATATGGCGATAGTACAATATTTACCCGAAATCATAATATCCTCACCCTTCACTTGTTCCAAACCTGGATGACTTTCTTTCACCTGTTGAACACTAAAGAAGATATTTTGAAGAAAGCTGAACCATTGACTTCCTTAGTATTTGTTTGAAGTCGATGGTTACAGATTTTCCATTTCAACATAAGAAATAAATTAAGGTTTGTAACCACTTAACATTTTCATTTTTGGGTGAACTTATTGCTTTAAGTGACCTTTAAAGGTAGTGTTGTTCACATCATGGAGAGTTCTAAAATATAAACTTACCACTCTAAAATTCAGCTGAAGCTGTGAAAATCATGATTGATAAGAGTGTCTTAGTAGTCATTTAAAGTATAATTGTGGATACATTTTAATATCTTCACACATACTGTACATGTTTTTACCATCTTCAGCAGTTTTTTGTTCTTGTACCATCTGTTTCTTCTGTGAAACAACCGCCCTGGTTGAATGTTGACACCTTGTGGACAAACTAAGTAGTGCAAAAACAATTCAAAGCACGTGCGTATGTGTGGGTACAAAAACCAGCCATCTGGAAACTAAGTTTGCATCTAACACACTATATGTGGACCCTGTTGTACACATTCATTAAGTATTTTCCATTATTTCTGATATATTTTTAATCTTTAAAGCACGCTGAAACTAATATAAAGATGTCTGCTTTCACTTTCTTTCCATTAAAGATGTGCAATGATCATTGCCCTTCATATGCAACTTCTGAATCAGTGAATGCATGTATAAGCGCTGACTGATTAACGCGCTTCGTATGATAAACTGATCCCAGATTCAAACCAAATTAAACATTGGGCTTCAACACACATTCATTCAATCATTTTCCTTCAGCTTAGTCCCTTATTTATCAGGAATTGCCACAGCGGAATGAACCACCAACCATTCCAGCATATGTTTTAAGCAGTGGATGCCCTTCCAGCCGCAACCAGGTACTGGGAAACATCCATACACACTCATTCCCACACACTCATACACTATGGCCAACTTACTTCATTTAATTCATCTATAACACATGTCTTTAGACTGATTGGCTGATAAATAAAGTATTTCCAGGTAGATCCTGATCACATTCAAGTTCCATATAACTATTTCTACTGTCATTGTACAGTCTACAACAGCAAATAATTAAATCAAAACAAAAGGATTTGGATGACATGCGCATATAAAACTATTTCTGCACACAAGGTGGGTCTGAAAACAAAACACTCCCAAATGTCTTGAAATACAACATCTGAATAGTGTCTTTAGGCGTGCTAAGAATTTTATTTATTTATTTTCACAAAAAAGACAGCGTACATTCATCAGTGGTGTAAAGTAACAAATTACAAATACTCAAACTACTGCAATTGAGTAATTACTAAGTAGTTTGAAAAATGTGTATTTTTACTTTCCCTTCAGTCCATTTTTAGTGCTGTATCGGTACTTTCACTATCCTTCAACATGCAGTCACTACTTTATTTTTTCTTCAGTCCTGTGATTTCTGTATAATGAAGTACTTCAACACATGGGTGATTAATAATTGCAGCAAACTGTTTGGAAGAATTAAAAGTGTCCAAGTAGATGTCCAAAATCTTTACAAGCATTGACCCAGAGACTGTTTAGATGCATGTCACTGATGAGAAGATGATGGACATTTACTGTATGATGACCGAAATGGCCTTAAACACCCAACATGACGTCAGATTAAAGTTGTACCAACATCGTGGGGGTGTTGCATTTTGTTTGGAAATGAAATTGGGTTGACATCAGAACCCAAAGTCATGCTGACGTCAATGTCCAACCTAAAATCAACCAAAAATCAACATCTAATGGTACAGCTTGACGTTGTGTGGACGTTACCACTATGACGTCTATCAGATGTTGCCATACTTGATGAATAAATGTCAGTATTTGACGTCAATATGACGTTGGTTTAAGATGTTGGCTCGACATTGGATTTTAGTCACTTTTTAACACAACTTAAAATCAACGTCATTTGACGTCTTTAAACGCTGACTAGACATTTAATTTTGGTCACCTGACATCACAACCTAAATTTAACCTAATGTTAACTTCTTATGACATTGTGTGCCTGCTGGGCAATAACTAAATGCACTACAGAATGTTACGTTTACACACATCCACAAATTACATGTAAATCATCAGCTTTTTACAGCGTAATACTCACTACTCACAAGTCTTGAGTACTTTTGAAAGGTCTACTTTTTATTTTACTAGTATTATTTACAACAGATACTTTTACTCTATACTTGCACTATATTTTTGGACAAGTAATAGTAATTTTGCACAAGTATAATATTTCAGTACTCTTTCCACAATTGACATTAATCAACATTCCTCAAGAATGTAAAAGTCCCCAAATTAACCTAAAAGTTGGCATTCATTGACAGACTCTTTTGACAAATGTTATAAGCCTAAAAACCAACGGAAATAGAAATTGTAATTATAAACAAAACTCAAATGAGCAGCAGTTAGAAGTTATATAAAAACTCATTGTCACAATGTTGATGATTAAGAAGCCATTTCTGAAAATTATACTTAAATGAATCAAACGATACACATTCTCTAATACATTGTTGATTTACATTTCACTATTGTGATCCTTTAAAAGAAAAAAAAAAAATAGCTTGACCTTATTTGTCTAAGTGGAATAATGCACCTCGATTTGATTCCAATTATGAATTAAACTGAATAAAAGTCAGCCAGTTAAACCATGAGTAATCTTGCAATATTTATTCATTCATTTTCTTTTCGGCTTAGTCTCTTTATTAATCTGAGGTTGCCACAGCAGAATGAACTGCCAACTTATCCAGCATATGTTTTACGCAGCAAATGACCTTCCAGCTGCAACCCAGTACTGGGAAACATCCTTACACACTCATTCACACAAACACAAACACACATTCATACACACACAAACACACAATTATTTAATTCACCTATGCCGCATGTCTTTGGACTGTGGGGGAAACCAGAACACCCAAAGGAAACCCACGTGAACACGGGGAGAACATGCAAACTCCACACAGAATGCAAACTGACCTAGCCAGGACTCGAACCAGCGACCTTCTTGCTGTGAGGTGACAGTACTAACCACTGAGCCACCATGTTGCCTGAAAACTAAACTGTTTCAAGAGCTTGTTTGCATTCCTTACTTAACCTATTTTATATATTCAGTAATAAAAACTATTTTGAAAAAGCATCATAGTGCCTTTTACACATATACTGTAACATGAAATAGCGTAAATGTAAGTTCTGTAAAAAAAACAAGCTGTACTTACGGCTGGAAGTGCAAAGAATGATACGCCAATAAGAGCGAAGGTCCCGGCCAGAAGACGCCCTGCCCATGTCTTTGGGGTCTTGTCACCGTAACCGATGGTGGTCAAAGTGATCTGACACAAAAGGGAAATCATATGTCATCAGCAGGATTAAAGCGAGCACGACTAAGAGCCTATCAAAGTACTTGAGCTGTAAAACCGTTAGAAAGGTAGTATTAATGGAGCGGCCGTTAACGTCACGAAAGGAGGTTTAAATGGAGCTGCTATTAAACCATCACTATCTGTACTGATGGAACTAATGTAAATCTGTCACGAATGGAGGTGGTAATGGAGATGCTGTAAAAGGAGCTGCCTCACATTTTAAAAATCACTCTTGACCTTGTAACACAATGTTTTAGATTTGATTGGATCTCTACACGGAGGAAAGCTTTTATGCATGTTCACCACAGCAGCACAGAAATGCTCAAATTTATTGAAAAGGTGCATAAAAAGGTCAAGAGAGAAAGAGAGACAGCAAGCATTTTATTTATTTATTTTTTGTCCCTGCTATTTATTTGGTGTATTTGTAAAGCTGTTTTCATACATTTTCTCTTGTATATATGTGTTTTTATAATAATGCAGGTTTGGTACAAACTTTAAATGTCCATTAATTTAAAAGCAAGCATGGCATGAATTTAAAAAAATCTGTTTATATCCATCAAATTTGATTTTATTATTACTATTTAATATTTATTATTATTATTTTATTATTACTTCCTAATTAACAGTGTACACTGCCTGACAAAAATCCAAGCTTTAGGAACAGCAAATAATAACTTGACTTCTAGTTGATCATTTGGTATCAGAAGTGGCTTATATGAAAGGCCTCTAGATTACGCTTATTTTACCAAAATAAAATATGATCATGCCTTGATTGTTAATTATTTAATTTGGACAGTAAGGTCTGACTTTGCTAAGACAAAAGTCTTGTCACTTTACATAAATAATGTACAGTATAGAATATAATCTATGCATCTATACATCTCTGCAATGACTCACATAACTTATTAATAAAGTCATCTAGACTAGCAAAGAAAGCGTTCCTGCAGGACTCTCAGAGTTCATCAAGATTCTTTAAATTCATCTTCAATGCATTCTCCTTCATCTTATCCCAGACATGCTCAATAATGTTTGTATTTTGTGAACGGCATGGCCAATCCCGAAGCATCTTGACCTTCTTTGCTTTTATGAACTTTGATGTGGAGGCAGATCTCTCACACGCCCCCATACTGAATGTAACCCCAAACCATGATTTTCCCTTCACCAAAATTGACTGACTTCTGTGAGAATCTTGAGTCCATGCAGGTTCCAATAGGTCTTCTGCAGTATTTGTGATGATTAGAATGCAGTTCAACAGATAATTCATCTGAAAAATCTACATTCTGCCACTTTTCCTAATGATCAACTAGAAGTCAAGCTATTACTTGTTCCTCTTACAACTGGGATCAACGACAAGACTTTTGTCAGGTGGTGTAGAAATTTTACTCTTTAAACAGATGTGTGCACACTGCAAAATCTATTAACATAAAAGTTAGCAAGAAATGAAAATTCCAATAATCTATTACGAACTGACAATCAAATGTAAATGACAGTTTTTCCAAAACTTGCATTGATTCAAGAGGAGGTTATTTTGATCGTCAATTAATACAATATTTAAAAACTAATGAACAACATTGTGCACAGATAAATCACTGATAAAATACTGCAATATTTCATAAAATATACATTAACAGTCAGTTTTTATTTCATGGTTACTATATAAGGTCATATACAGTTGAAGTCAGAATTATTAGCCCTCTTTTGATTTATTTATTTATTTTTAAATATTTCCCAAATGGTGTTTAACAGAGCAAGGCAATTTTCACAGAATGTCAGATCATATTTTTTTTCTTTTTGAAAAAGTCTTATTTGTTTTATTTCGGCTAGAATAAAAGCAGTTTAAATTTTTTTATGAACTGTTTTAAGATTAAATAATTAACCCTTTAAGCTATTTTTTGACTGTCTACAGAACAAACCATCATTATACAATAACTTGCCTAATTACCCTAACCTGCTTAGTTAACCTAATTAACCTAGTTAAGCCTTTAAATGTCACTTTAAGCTGTAGAGAAGTGTCTTGAAAAATATCTAGTCAAATATTATGTACTGTCATCATGACAAAGATAAAATAAATCAGATTAGGTTAAATTAGAAACGAGTTAGTAAAACTATTATGTTTAGAAATGTGTTAAAAAATCTTCTCTCCATTAAACAGAAATTGGGGAAAAATTAACAGGGGGGCTAATTATTCAGTGGGGCTAATAATTCTGACTTCAACTGTACATATCAGTTTTATCATTTTGAAAGATTATTTTGGCTTGTAAAGGACTCTGTAAGCTACATTTACCATGCTATTTATAAAGTTTTCATGAGCTTCTACACTTTTCCAATTAAAAGCACACAAGCTACTTGGTAAAAACATAAATAACAAACATTATTCAGGACATATTTGTGTACTAAGTGTTTTTCTCAATTCAATTGAAAGGGGACCTATTATGCCCCTTTTTTATAAGAAATCAATGATGCCCCTAGCGTGTGTATGTGAAGTTTTAGCTTAAAATACCACTCTGTGTGTGTACCACTCAAATTTTTTCCACATTTTTCGAGTGCCTTGGACTGATTTTTGCTGTTTATTCTGATGAATCCCTTACCCAAAGAGCACCAACACATTATTTAAGCTACCCCTTTTGTTTGATTTAGGATTTTCAATGTTTTATAACTGCGAAGTTCACCCAACTTTAAGATGATTTTGAGGTGGAGGAGGAGGGAAAGGGCCATCATCACAGCTTGCGCCTATGGTTTATATATAGTGTCACTGACTCATTTTCCCACAGGAAAAGAAGGGAGGTAACTTCTGTCGCCGACCACTGACCACTTTCCTTCTCTATGTTTCCTCTGTTGTTGTTGTTTACCACGTCGACGTCTCCACACACGCTCTTCCTTCTACATCATTAAACCGCAGAGACGTATCACATTGTCACAAGTTTAATGACGTACAAAACGGAATGCCCCAACAAATCCGATCTGCCTGTTTACATGATAGTCCCAATGTCACATATCTGGCCTCAAAATGATCTCTGAAAATCCCTATGTGTGCTTTTTTTTATTTTGTGTTTACATAGAACAGATCCGATCTGTCACATATGAGCAAAAAATCTAAATTGGGTCACATTCAACTGGCAGTGTAAACAGGGTCTTCGTCGCTGCCATTATTTTCAGCAGGTACGGTGTGAAAAATCAAATGGCAGATTGCTGCTTCTCACCTAGGGCTGTCTATGCTAATGAGAGAGAGATCATCACTAATGAATGGGGCTTTCCCACTCTGATGACATGTACAAAGGGAGAATGCCAATCAAAGTGTTTCTATATGAAGTGTGATTATAAAAAATCTAATTCATACATTTTTTACCATTAGAGGCTGGCTATATTCACACACTGTTGCCACACAACTGCATTTAAATCCATTATAAAAGTGATTTTTGCATAATAGGCAGCCTTTAAAAAATATTCTGAATGCCTAAGAGTGCTGTGTGTGATTCTCACCAGTCCCCACCAGAGGGCGTCTGCATAGGTGTCAAAGTCCTGCGGGGCCGGTGTCGGTGAAGGGCCATCAGTGTCTCTGTGGAGCTCTGTGGTCTCATCGTCCTTCTCGACCAGATACACCAGGAAAGAAGCCAGGATCAATGACAGGAAGCCGATGTACCACGCTGTGATCAGCTCCTAAAAAACGCACACAGTTGAGTTTGTCTGCAGCCAGGAGATCAAACATCACCAGACACTGATACAGGATTGTTTGTGCTTGCGTATGTACTTTCCCCTGTATGTGTGTGTGTGTATGTGTGTGTGTGTTTATAGCAGATTTAAAAGATGTGAGTGTGTGTTTAAGTTGTTTACTGTTTGTATACTGCCGACCCCATCAGTTTCTATGACATGATTCAAACAAGCAGGACAATCGTTCCGATGTTGATCGGGGGCTACGGACTGTTTGTGTACATCACATCACATTCGGATACCTTGCTGTGTGTGTATATTGCAGATCCCAGCAGTTTCCAGGTTCCTCCGCGTCTGTCCATTCGCAGCATCCGGAGGATCTGCAGGAAACGCAGACTGCGCAGCGACGTGGCCAACACATTTCCCTGATTACGTACGGCAACCACCGGCACCGAAGCGATCAGAACAAAAATATCTGAGAACATACAAAATAAGCACAAACGGCAATAAACAATAAAGTTAAAACTATAATTAAATATGATTACAAGTATGTTTAGTTACTAAAGGAAAGGCTAAACAAAGCCGCAGTTCACTATCAAGCTACACAACATTTGTAAACATTTGAATTTAACCTTGGGTAGTTCAAATTTACTACCCTTTTGTTATGTTGGTGGCTGATTTTGCTCCATTGACTTCCATTATAAAGACATTTTTTGATTGTTGGGGGTTTTCCATGTTGGGAAGAGGTCATTTTTACTGTTTATTATCAATTGGCACCATTAACCCGAGTTTGTGAAAATGTTTCCAATTTTTATATAAATAGTAAATTATAGTGTGTGTGCTTAAATACACTTAATATGTTTACTATGTTCTAAAAGCTGAGCTACTTATTTTGATTTTCTCAGACATATCAAGGTAAGTGTGCAAAGGTCTCTCTTACACTATCACACACTCACACATGCACACACTTTTTTGCATTGCAACTGATGATCAACGGTAAAAGTGTAAAATATTACCTCTTCCCAACAGGGAAAACCAGCAACAATAAAGAATGCATAATTATATATAGTGTCATGGCATTGCAGTCAAAAAAAGTCCTTATAATGGAAGTCAATAGGGCAAAAACAGTGACTAACATAATAAAAGAGTAGCGAATTTGCCCACAGTGTATTATTGAATTTTTTAATATTTTCAAAGCATTTTCCCAAAGTATATGTCAAAATAAGATAAGTCACCAAAATCCTTCCATTTGCTGAAACACAGAGAAAGTTGTGGCTATGTTAGGACTCCCCAGAGTGGATGAAAACATCCCCAACATTAAACATTTAATAACATGGGCTTACTTCAAATTCTATTCAGAACTTCAGCCAAATGTTTAAAATAAATCCTTCTGTGAGGTGTTTCTGTAGTCATGTGAATTCTGTAGTCGTGTGATTAATAGTCACACTGAATCAATGAATGTAGTTAAATCTGGTAGTTAAATCTAGAAGAGATATAGCTGCAGATACTTGGGCATACGCACATCGATATAGCATAATGTTTTTGACACTTTACAAAAATAGTTTTTGGGCCCTCTCATACACCCGGCGCAGTGTTGCGCAACGCAAAAGTTGCTTGCTAGTTTTAGCTAGGCGCAAGAGTCGTTTTGACGTTTTGCTGTTTAAATAGCAAATGCATTTGCGCTCATATGTGCGCCCATAGGCGTTCTGGTCTAAAAAAGAAGGCGTATTGCTGGTGCGTTGCTATTTTGAGGAACTTAAATAGAAGGTTCAAATAGATTAGATCAAAGCTGGTCTATTGTCCAGTGCAGAGCGCGTTAGTTGTGTGCCTGGCTTACACATTGCTTAATACAGACAGGATGTACAGCAATACGCAAATATCTTTATAAATGAAAAATAATCAAAATATTAAGGATATATATAGGATATAATAAGGATATATAGCCTATAGGATATAAATATAAAGGATTAAAATATTCCAAAACATATTATTTTCTAGCCTAAATAAATATAAAAGACGGATTTTTTTTTTAAAAAAGCGGATTTTTCCATCCTTAAATTAGCAAAAGTGGATTCCGACATGCCCTAATTGCTTTGCACTTTGCGCATGGATCGTCAAAATAGAGCCCTTTCAGGGGCGTCGGGGGAGACGAGAGGGGGAACAAGCGTGTTTTGACCCAGTACAAGGCAACTTTACATAGTGTGATTACGGCCTTATTTGCTGTGCAGTTTCTGTGCGAGAGCACCCTCTGGCCTTTGGAGGAGATTTACTACTGATCACAGAGCAGTGCTTTTCTGACAAGATGTTCATGACGAGATCAGCTTTTGCTAAAACACTATGTTAAAAAGCAATTAACACACAAAAAAAATCTTATACAGTACCGATGCATCTCATTAAATTAGAATGTCATAGAAAAGGTGATTCATTTCACTTAGGGCTTACTCACACTATGCTATCCAAACTGTGCCTGTGCCCATCTCCCAGTTCGTTTGACAAGTTTCAGTGCTCCAAATCAGGCTCGGGCTTAATTCAGTTGGCCGGTTGGAAGAGGTGTGCCAGAGCGTGATACGGTTGGGCTTCGGTGTGTTATGCTTGTAGTGTGAGGGCAAAGAGCACCTGAGCCCTAAACTAAAGAAGAGATTGTTTCATATAATTTTGTTTACTAAAGCTGTTTTTTTAAAACGATGACGTTCTAATTTATTGAGATTCACCTGTATATATCGGCCCCTAAAATCTGAAATTTTTTAATTAAGCATCAATAAAGTGTTCTTGTATTTATTTTAAAGCCTTATTACATGAATTTCTGGAATACTTGATTCTGGTCAATCATGAGATTCCATAATTGAATCATCTTGACTGTTAATATATTTATACAGGCTATATACGCAGTTGACGTCAAACTATTAGCCCTACTTTGAATTGTTTTTCTTTTTCCAAATATTTCCGAAATAATGTTTAACAAAGCAAGGAAATTTTCACATTATTTCCAATAATATTTTTTCTTCCGGAGAAAGTCTTATTTGTTTTATTTCAGCTAGAATAAAATAAAAGCAGTTTTTAATAAAAAAAACAAACATTTTAAGGTGAATACTGATATCGTTCCTAAGCAATATTTTTATTTTATTGTCTACAGAACAAACCACTGTTGTTTAGTTTTGCCTAATAACCCTAACTTGCCTAATTAACCTTTAAATTGCACTTTAAGCTGATTACTACACTGCAAAAAAAAAAATGCTTACGTAGATTTTTTTGTCTTGTCTTTAATCCAAATATCTAAAAATTGTTATATTAAGAAGCATTTTCTAGGCAAACAAAAGATAATATCTTTTCTTTTTTGAAATAGTATGGCAATATCAAGTGAGTTTTTCCTTAAAAACAAGCAAAATAATCTTGCTTTTGCTTTTGACATAAGATTATTTTTCTTACCCCATTGGCAGATTATTTTGCTTGTTTTAAGGAAAAACTCGCTTCATTTGGCCCATTATTTTTTAAAACAAGACATTATGTTTTGCTTGTCTAAATATTTATTCTTTATTTAAGAATTTTAGGTATTTGGACTTGAAACAAGACAAAAAAAAACATAAGTAAGAAAAGTTCCAGTGTAATATCTTGAAAAATATCTAATAAAATTTGATGCACTCTCATCATGGCAATAATAAAAAACAAATATTAGTAATTAGTGATGAAAAAAATCTTCTTTCCGTTAAACTAAAATTTTGGAAAAAATATACAGGGGGGCTAATAATTTAGGAGGGTCAAGCCACTGCTCTTAACTTTTTGCTGCCATCTTCTGACTAAACAGTAAGCAAGGTTAGTGTAAACTGCATCCAGTCAAAGGTCTCATAATGCAAATCAAAAGTGCAAATAAACCGAAAAGAACCATGAATCACAAAATATTTTTACAGCATATTGCCTGCTTGCTTCTATTGCTTGTAAGTTCACATCTTCTGTTAGTGTGTGTCCTGATTTGCTCCTTGCTGATGTTTAATTAAAGACACTGTGACAGTATATGCATATGTGTGTTTGTGTTTAAGTGAGAGTGTGTGTTTGTTTGGGTCGGTGTGTTGAACTCACCCAGGACACACAGCGGTTTGCGGGCGAATTTGAGCCGTCCTCTCCAGCCTTTATATCGACAGCAGCAGCCGGCGGCCCATATCCTCAACGCAAACTCACCTCCAAAAATAAAGATGGTAAACGTCTCCTACAGGTGAGAGAAACAGTCAGTCATTTACTTCTCAACACACATACACAAGTACAGAATACACATACACTCACCAGAATCACCAGCCAGTGAGCCGAATCCTTCTCGTGCTCTTTGAATGTTGTTAATATCGACAGAATCAGACATCCCAAAACAATCAGAAACCTAGAGAATAACAAACAGGGATTGTGATCTTTGACCAAATACTCATATCTTAATATCCTAATACACTTCCGACAAAGATTATACAGAAGCATGATATATATAAAATGGATATTTGCAATCACAGATAACTCCATTTTTAGTCATTTTTAGATATAGGGCCCTGTCATACACCTGGCGCATTGCGGCACAAGACGCAACGCAATTGTTGTTTGCTAGTTTAAGCTCAATGCAAGAATCGTTTTGACATGTTGCACCACGCTGTTTAAAGAGCAAATGCATTTGCGCTCATATGTGCACCCAATAGGCGTTCTAGTCTAAAAAAGGAGGTGGATTAAGGCGCGTTGCTATTTTGAGGAGCTATAATAGACTGCAGAATAGACCAGATCAAAGCTGGTCTAAAGTCCAGCGCAGAGCGCATTAGTTGTGCGCCTTGCTTAAACATTGCTTAATGCACACAGGATGTACAATTTGCAAATATCTTTACCAATAAAAAATAATTAAAGAATTAAAATATTACAAAAATTATTATTTTCTAGCCTAAATAAATTTAAAAACCACTGCCTCCATGCCTTCTTCATCTTGTGGGGGCTTTTTTAGTTTATTTATGACAATTTGCTTTTGTAAAGTTATTATTATTAGTAGTAGTAGTATTTACTATATGCATATTTATACCTGTTTTATTAAAAACAAGCTTAGATTTGCCCACCTGTCAGGTTTTAGACCATATGTGTTAGGATATAACTCAGATTTTTGAACACACTTCGTTATTGTTGTTCATTTATTTGTTTGCTGGAAATCAGAAATGAATTTAGAAATAATTTTGAAACACATCTTTGCACTTAATAAACAAAATTAATTATTTATAGGCTAATGGATGTCTGTGCGTACAACACGTTTCCCTATCCACGAGAGTGAAATTGAAAGTAAAGAATGAGAAGGCTCTTTCCCTCATTCTCACGCTGTAGATCAGGGCTGCTCAATCCCGTTCCTGGAGATCTACCTTCCTGCAAAACGCAGCTTTCACCCTGTTCAAACACACCTGAACCAATTAATTAGGACCTGAACAGCACTTGATAATTAAAGACAGGTGTGTTTGAAATGGGTAGCAACTGAAATCTGCAGGAAAGTAGATCTCCAGGAACAGGGTTGAGCACCCCTGCTGTAGATGCTCTGCTTAACTGCTTTCTCTCTAGTGAAGCATTCAGTTTTTCCACTTACAAAGTTCGCCATGTAAATAGCAAATGTGCCATGGCGCTACGCAACTGGCTCTTAAAGGAAATGGGAGATGAGACTCTGATTGGTTTATTCTCAAAGCACACCTAAAACTCATTAAGACAATAAGCTCAACCCTGTTAGACAATGCGCCACAGCGCAAAGCGGTTTTTCCATCCTTAAAATAGCAAAAAGTGGATTCGGACACACCCTTAATGGTTTTGCACCCTAAGCTTTGCGCCTGGATCGTCAAAATAAAAGAAAAGTTTTTAAAGTATTTTTTAATATTTAGTATTTATACTATATGAAATGCAAAAATACAGTATTTATTTGGATGCATGGTGTGGCTATTGAATGTTTATGTTGATAAACATAAAATTAAAGGTGCAGTACTAGTTATTGCATTCCTAGTATTTGAGCTAGTTATTGTATTGCTGAATCAAAACAAACGCAAATACAGGTTGCCAGATTTAGGACCAGGGGCAGGAGTGAGTCTGACTTTCGAGCATAAAGATCTGATTTAAGGCTGATTTAAATTGTGTTCTATATAAAAGGGCAGCCTGAAGGAATATTCTCCATATTAAAAGCAGTTTTTGTTCTAACCTAATATGGAATTAATATATTAGAAACAGTTTCTATTTCCTGCTGAACAACAGAGAACTGTCAATGATTACTTAATGTACACCTCATGTGCTTTATTCAGTGTTAAATGCTAACAATGTGAGTTTGAATGCCATTTTACATGACATTTATTGCCATACAACTGAAAGCAGCAGCAAATAGTTCACCTCAGATCTTGAAAATAAACCGTTTGCAGTTAAACTTTAGAACTGTGACTTAGTTAAAAATAACATATATCAGTGATTCAGCATAATGTTAAAGAGGTTTAGTATGTTTTAATTAGATTATAAAGCGTACCATTTAGTGAATGAGTGCATATTCTGTGCCTCTGAATGGCTGTATTTAAGTTTTGTCTGGTGCAAACAGCTATATTGCTTAACACTGCAAATTCCTGCTCAATTAATGTTTACGTTAGGAATATTTCTATTATTTGCTAATTAATCATGTGGAATCTGCTTCTCAATTCGGAGTCTGCTACTGTCCACCGGAGGTCACACTTCAGTCACAGATGCATGTGTAACGGAGGCCAGCTAGTGAAGTGCTGTGCAGGTAAATGGTCTTTGGCCTCCTTGTCAGAGCAACTGACTCCCATGCAGAGAGTAACCGATTCCAATCCAGCTTGAAGCAGGTTGGGTGGTGTAGGACCGAAAGGGTTTCTTTTGTTGCCGTAACCCACATGGGAGTCAGGTTTAGGGAGTGTAATGGAGGCCAGCTAGCGAAGTGCTGTGCAGGTAAATCTCAGTGACCTCTAAAAAAAGTGCTCTAGTAACAGATGCTAGAAACCATGGTCTTTAGCCTCATTGTAAGAGCAACCGACTCCCATGCGAAGAGTTGCCGGTTCGATCCCAGCTCAAAGCGGGTTTGGTGGTGTAGGGCCGACGTGGTAACACATGCTTTGACAGCCTTCCAGGCTGAATGAATGAAATATGCGGTTTTCCAACAAGGTAACCCATGGTGCTGAAATATAACTGACTGAAGTGGCAGCGGGTGGGTTAAAAGAAACAAAACAAAGACAGACGTTCCAGCATGTAACAGATATTTTCAAAGCAGAATATCTGACTTTAGCATTGTTTTTTAGATAAACACGAATGTTCACTTGGCATGTTTTTTAAATATCTGCAAACATATCATGGTTTATTTATGCTTTAGAAGAGTTAAAAACTTACATACAGCAGCTTTAAAGTATTTGGTATTTTCATTCATTTTTTATTCATCAGGGGTCGGCACAACAGAATGATCTGCCATGTGGTATTTTATTTTAAAATACATTTCATTTCAATGCTCAACCCTGAATACACAATCTTAAAAATAAAGGTTTCAGAAAGAATCAAAAAGGGCACACAGCGATGCCACAGGAGAACTTTAATGAAAAGTATATGTTCTTCATAACATGAAAAACTATTTTATATTCTAAACCACCTCAATCCATTATAAAAAAAAATATTTGTGAAATTAAAAGGATGTTACATTAAAGGAAACCTATTTTGCAAAAAGCACTTTTATAAGGGGTTTAAACAGTTGTGTGGTAACAGTCTGTGAATATAAACAGCTTCTAATGGTAAAAAATGTATTAATTTAGCTTTTTATAATCACACCTCATAAAAACAGTCTGCAGAAACACTTTGATTGACATTCTCCCTTTGTACGTGTCATCAGAGGGGATAGGCTCCGCCCATTAGTGATGATCTCTGCCTTATTTGCATAGGACGTTAGTCTTGTTTTTGAATCTGCCACTATGCTGACACAAAGGCACTTGTTGTTCCGCCCTCTTTTGAAAAAAGCACAATCTCAAATAAATTTAAAATGGCACAATTCGAATCAAAGCCTAGAAGAGGCTGATTAAAAATAAAAATATATACCCTGTATATTTGTGGTGTATTTTGAGCTGAAACTTCTCTAGGTACATGTTCTAGACATCAGAGACTTATCTTAGATCTTGTAAAAAAGAGGCATAATAGGTCCCCTTTAAGGGGCCAATAAAGAACCTTTATCCTTTAAAAGTGCACACACTGTTTGTTGTCACTATTAACAAAGCAGGTACAATCTCTCAAACATATTCAATATATAAACATATCTCTCTGAGAATCAGAGATGAAGATCTTTTCAGTTGCTATGGATACCTCAGCTGAGTCATTGTAAAATGTTTTCTTTTTTTTCCCAGAAAGACCTGCTACCTTTAGATATGGATGAATATCATATGATTTTACCAGCAGAGGGGGCTGTGCATGAACTGCATTCAGCAAGAGAACGACACTTGCACAACAATCTTCCTTTCAAATGCTGAGCTTGCAAGATTTACAGTACAAGCGTTATTTTTTCACGACAGGTAATCAGAAACCTACTGTACACTGTATAGGGCTCTCATTAAATTCCCTTACTGAATTTCAAACCCAAACAATGACGCATGCTGTGCTTGTTTCCTGGATACTTGGGACCAACTATAAGTAGGGGTTGTATTGAATAACAGCACTAAAAAAAAAACCCATTGGTTATTATTATATTTCAGACTGTATTTTGTTAATTTCAGTACTAGATAGGCTGTGTTGTTCTGAACAATTTTGAAAACAAAAAAAAAAAACAAAACCATAGCCATTGACTTCCATAGTAGAAAGTAAACAAAACATTGGAAGTCAATGGTTACATGTTTCCTACTTTCTTCAAAATATCTTTTTTTTTGTATCTGTTCAAACTACTTTTACAAAATGAGCTGAATCAACACAATTCTTGAGTTTTTTCGGGGGACAACTTGATTGTTTCATGTTCAATCCACTTAAATTTGCAACTAGGCATGCAACGATTCCACTTACTCGACACGATTAACGATACTAATCTCACAATATGATTTAAAAACAATTTTTAAACAAAACTATTAGACACAAATTTAAGGTGAAGAGCCCTTTCATTTTTTTCTTAAATGCTGCAATTTTTATTTATTTATTTTTTATTTTTTGCAAAATAATATATTTTCTGCCTTAACCAAATTGCTATTTAAAAAATAAAAAAGGAATACAAACTAAAGAAGACTCATTTATATAAACAAACTAAAACTGTGACTGTGCTGGGATTTTACATTTTCAAAAAGAAATATCAGCACATCTATGTTTTTTATAAGCTGAAATCTTTGTACATTTACAATGTCCCCTGCTGCCTTTCCTAAATCAGAGAGC